CTTAGTAGAGAGAGAGTACGACGGGGGNGGGGGGGGGCGGGTGAAGCGGTTGCATTGCACTAGAAGCATTTAAATGGAGCCCTTTGTTTCATATATTCGAGACAGCCGGTATTACAAGAACAAGGGGGTTTTCAGTTTTCAGATTTCAAATTTCACCCCAAGCTTTGATCCGATTCTTCAAATGTCAGAGATACGGTAAAAGATAGAGAACAGGGAAAGGAGGAAGAGAATCGGGAATTTGAGGAGAAGATCTGTAAAGGAGGTCAGCATACGTGAGCATACGAGTTCCCACGACACACTGCAGCTGCCACAAGATTTTGTTCCCTACGAGAAGCGCCAGAGAAGATCTCGGCCCTTTATTTCTCTCTCAAGACCTTATAAATACCCCTCGCCTCGCTCTTATCTCCTCGGTGAATCCCACTAATTCTAACCGAGGCGCTTCTTATTGCTCTGCCATAGAAAGGGCTTCTCATCTCTCTCGCTCTCTAAACTACCACCTTTCTCTCTCTCTAGCAAAACCATCTTTCTCCTCATCAACCACCCTTTCTCTCTCTAACAAGGTCAGTCTATATCACTCTAAATAAACAGAGGGTGTTTCTAGAGAGAGAGAGAGAGAGGGCGATAATGGAGGAGAGAAAGAGCGTCTTAATCACCGGAGCAAAGCTCCTGTTGCTTTTGGTGATGAGCTGCCTAATGGGGCTAACCCCCCAGGCCACCAAGCCTGGCGACGAACGAGCCACGTTTTTACCAAACTACATGGCCTCGAACTTGAGCTTTGACGCCAGCCGCACGCGCCTAGCGAGCCGCGACTTTGGTGGCTTGACCGGGGCCCCGCCACATGGCGTGCTCGTCCCGTCTTCGGTTCACGAAATAGCGAATCTAGTGCGCGTCGCCTATGAGGCTGACGCGCACTTTCGCGTGGCAGCAAAGGGCCACGCCCACTCGATTCAGGGCCAGGCCCAGGCGCCAGGTGGCGTGGTCATAGAGATGGAGGCTTTAAAAGGTTGCTTATTCAACGTTGGGGTTCTGGAGAACGAGTCGTGTTCGTTTTCCTCTTCTTACAGTGTAGAGAGAGAGAGTGTAGAGAGAGAAAGTGGTGGTTCTTTGTATTACGCCGATGTTTGGGGTGGGGAGCTGTGGATTGATGTTTTGCATGAGACGCTGAAGCATGGATTGGCACCAAGATCGTGGACGGATTATTTGTATCTGACGGTCGGAGGCACTTTGTCCAATGCTGGGATCAGTGGCCAGGCGTTTAATCACGGCCCTCAAATTAGCAACGTCTACGAGTTAGATGTGGTCACAGGTAAAAGGCACTTGTTTTTTTATCCAAAAATCTCTCTGTCTCACTCTCTTAATTATTTGCGTTTCAGTCTTTATTTTTCTTTTTTTCTCTATGATGCAATGTGTATCATTTTTAGTGTTCCTCGAACGCTCAAAAAGGAACTTTTTTTTTATCTCTCTCCAAACTCTCTCTATACAGCATTATTTTGGTCGTCCTAGTTTTCTATTTCTGATGACAATATTTTGTTTACACTTCAGTATAATTTTCGCGCCCCCCGCCCCCAGTTGTAATCCACTTGTTTTTCCCCTATCCTCTTTCTGTCTCTCTGTATTATTATTTGCTGTCTTCTATGTTTCTCTCTCTAATTATTATGTGCTTATTTTTCATCATCCAACCCCTTGGTTTATGTATTTTCCAAAACAGGTAAAGGCGAGCTACTTACGTGCTCAAAACACCAAAACTCAGAGCTGTTTCATTCTGTACTTGGTGGCCTGGGCCAGTTCGGCATAATCACTAGAGCCAGAATCGCCCTCGAGCCAGCCCCACAAAGGGTAAGAAAGAAATTACCCAAAAAGTTAGGGCTAATCTCGCCGTTTGATTCCTACTCTCTCTCACTGTGTTTCTCATTGCTGATTCTCTCTCAACCTTTCTCATCACTGTCTCTCGATAGGTGAGATGGATACGCGTCCTTTACTCAGATTTCAACACCTTCACACGAGACCAGGAGCACCTGATTTCATTGCATGGCCGCACCAAGTTCGACTACGTCGAAGGCTTTGTCATTGTAGATGAGGGCCTCATAAATAACTGGAGATCTTCTTTCTTCTCTCCTAGAAACCCCATCAAGCTCCAGTCCATCGTTAGTGGCTCAAAGGGCACCGTTCTCTATTGCTTAGAGGTCACAAAGAACTACGATGAAGCCACGGCCGATACAGTCGACCAAGAAGTGGACTCGTTGCTTAAAACACTGAGCTTTATTCAAGGGTCGGTGTTCACCACTGACTTGCCATATATTGATTTCTTGGACCGCGTGCACAAGGCAGAGCTGAAGCTCAGAGCCAAGGGCCTGTGGGATGTGCCCCACCCGTGGCTCAATCTGTTCATTCCTAAGTCCAAAATCGCCGATTTTGATGCCGGCGTGTTCAAGGGTATTCTCGGAAAGAAGACCAGTGGCCCAATTCTCATATACCCCATGAATAAAAATAGGTACATTCTAAATTCTAAACCCTATTTCGTACTGTACACTGTTGGATTGAAAACTGTGTTTTGAATCCCATTTTCTTTTCTTAAACTTTCGGGCATTTCCTTAAAAATCAAAGAAATTGGGCTCCATTTCCTTTTTTCATTTCACAATGGCTTTTGGTGGGTGGTCGCATTTACTGGAAAAAACATTGCATTTAATAGGTCAAAAAACAATTGCATTTAATGAAAAACGTTTTTCTGGATGCTGAATTTTTCGTTGCGTTTCTGCTTTTCATTGAAAGAGAGGTTTCGATTGCGAAATGGGGTCCCATAATTTCTTATGAGTTTGGAATTTGTGGCGAAATTTCGTGCCAAAATTTGAAACTTGGGCACTAGATGAAAACTAAAGTTTTTGGACTGCTGCTTTATCAGATGGGACGAGAAAACCTCAGCTGTGACACCAGACGAGGACGTCTTTTATTTGGTGGCGTTCCTGAGATCGGCGCTCGATAACGGGGAAGAGACACAGAGCTTACGTTATTTGCAAGACCAAAACGAGAGGATTTTGCGTTTTTGTGAAGAGGCTAACATAGAGATGAAGCAGTACCTTCCTCACCACACAAAACGAGCCCAGTGGGTCCAGCACTATGGACCCAAATGGGCCGAGTTCGAAGAGAGGAAGGCCACGTTTGACCCAAAGAACATATTGGCCCCAGGTCAGAGAATATTCTCTGCGGCCCAGCCCATCATCCTCCCATCCGCCTCCTCATCGTGACGACATGTTCTCTGTCTCAGCTTTCTGTCTTTTCTCCCTCTATCTCTCTCTGCTATGTACAGATTTTATCCGTTATTTTAAGGCCACCGATATGTACAGTGAGATAAAAATTTGTATCCTTGTATTTACCCGAAATAGCAGGGTTACCCTTGAGGGGCTAGAAATGATATTTGTGGCTCAATTTGGGGGTATTTTCTGAGATGGGTGTGATTGAGCAGTTGAGCAGTTGCCATCTCCTCGCATTCAATCCCAGTGTGGAAAAGACCGGCTCTTCGGTCCTTTGTGGCGATTGGCGGGGCCCACTTCCTTTCATACGTCACTTTCTTGGTTGAGCCACCCGTGAAGCCGACCACCCGACCACCCATGCTTAATTCTCTTAATCCTCTCTAACATCGCCCCACATTTACTTTCTCTCTCTAAATAACATCTCCTTGCAAATTCTATATTCTCTCTCTTCCCCACCCTCAAACTTCTCCATGACGCCCTCTCTCTCTCTCTACCCTAAAAATTTGTCTAAACCACTCTCTTTGCCTTATTCTCACACTGGTGTGAGATTTTAAAGTGCAGGAAAACTTCGGCCCGGGTTAGATCGGAACCAATCGCCGATTTCAGAACTCGCATAGTATTTTAAAAAAGTTTAAAAAATAATTATATAAAATTTCAAAAAATAAAATATTTTGGGAAGGTATTTTGAAAAACTTTCAAAATTAATTATATAAAATTATAAAAAATAAAATATTTTGTTTGTAATGTATTTTTTTAATATTTTTCATAAAAGATTGGAAATTTTTTTTGTAACTAATACTTATTTTTAGATTTTTTTTTTTTCTTTTTGAAAAATATCAAAAAACGCCCTACTACAAATCGATTATTTGAACTCGTTTTTTTTATTATTAATGTTCAACTTGGTTAAACTCTTTTTTTTATTATTAATTTTCAATTTGATTTGGATGTGTTTGTTTAATCATATTTTAAATATTTTTTGTTTTTATTTTATTTTTTATATTTGTTTTTTAATAATTTTTTGACCATTCGAGACTTGCTCTGATAGGCCGGTTGAACCGACCAATTTACCAATTAGGTGGTTGAACCGCTTTCGGTCTCATGTCTAATTAACCGAGTTCAGTTTTTGCTTCTTTAGATATCTTTTTGGTCAAATCACTATTATTTTTTTGAAAAAAGTTTATATGAAGTTGCAGCCTTAAAATGTATAAATAAATAAAAATACATTTAAAAAATTTATCAAAAATTGTTATTTTAATATTGAAAAACTTTCTAATCGATCATCTCAACATCGAGATGTATGAATATAAAATATGGGAAATGATATTGTGAGATCCTCCCACACCCATATATATAAGATCCAAAGGATCACCATTAAATTTGACACATCTTTCTAAAAAAGTTATCCCACATCCATGTGATAATATATATTTATTTTTTTTTTATTTTTTTTTTTTTTTTTTTGAAATCTTAAAAATAGAGTATCTTACAACACATTATCTAGACGATCCATTTTTTAAATTTTCGTATGTTTATAGATCTAATTGATTTTAACTATTTTTAAAGTTTAAAATTTTATAATTAAATATAAAAATAGATTTTCATATAATCTTAAAAAAAAATTTGCACTAAAATTATATGTTAAGATGAAATTGAGTGGTGCGCCTTAATTGGATTGTTTGAGGTTGCAAAACCACACCCTTCTCTCTTGGTCTAAGCTATTTCTCTCTCTCCTCGTCCAACTCTTCTCTTTCCCGCTGTCCCTGTTTCCTCCACAGTTAATAAACAGCCAATGCCCACGGAGTGTAGGGTGTGATCATGTTGTTAATCGATATGACATTATGTCTTCCTTTGTGCGGCACTTTCGAATTTATTTTCTATTTCTTTAACCTTTTGCCTTTCCTTTTGTCGAAACTGTACATTCTAATATGAACGAATCTCCTTTTATCTTGTTGCCTTTTGCTGGAACCAGCTATTCTATTCTATTCTATTCCACTCTAGATACATAGCAATGTTAAATGCTATGGTTTATTTGTTTGAATGTGCATGTGGGCACACAACTAAGCATTGAAGTGGGCTACCTCTAGACCTCAATCATGATGTAAAGTAGACCTTGACTTTGAGAGTTTTTAGTCCTTAATAAATTGTGAGATCAAGTTAGAGAGAGAAAGTGAGAATAGAATAATAAAATGTGAGACATCAAGGTCGATCGCGAGAGAGAGGGACAATCCAAAGACTTTCGGTGGGTTCCAAGTTGATTGCAACCAGAGTAGAAAGACGAAAAATGTATCAAAAGTATTTGAGTGGAATATTTGGGAAGAGGTTTTTTTTTAAAGAAAAATATCCAAAGATATTTATTCTCAAGGAGTGTATATTATGAGACAATTTATTTTTTGTACAATGAAATCACAATTATTATTCGCTATTGAATGTGAAATCCAATAGATGAAAATATGTCTCAATATTTTTTTATTTTTACCTTTTAAAAAAAGACTGTGCCTAAATAATAACACTTTCTTGACCACTCGATTTCAAATCTAGCTGTCAATGAAGATTGTGTCC